AAAGAAAGAAAGAAAGAAAGAAAGAAAGAAAGAGGGAGGGAGGGAGGGAGGGAGGGAGGGAAAGAAAATGTGAGATATGCTCTGCATCAGTGGCATCCACCTGCTTTGAAAGATTACAATGATTAAGACTTGGTTTGCTACCCAGTAAAACTTACCCACCTTTTGCCTTAATCCTCCTTTCAAAAATACTGAACAGGATGTTAAGAATAGAGTCATTTATCAACTCTATTGTAGGCATGAAGTTGTAGACATGAAGCACAACAAGGAAGGAAATTAGATACTGTAGTCTGTATCAATTCAAATTACAGTACCACAAAGGTATTGTATTTTTAAAAATGCTTCCATAGATTATAAAAAAGACAACCAGCATATTCTGTTTTTGTGCTTGCATGGAGCTTCCACGTCTATGGTATTCTGTGGCAAGTATAGTACAGTTGGACTTCTTGATTTTACCAGAAGGAAACTGTATTTTTGAATGCTATCCCATACAACATCTTCTATATAGAGACCACATCATCAAAACAAATTTTAAAAAATCTAAACAGGTGTAGTCTAGCACACTCCCTGAGATAGGAAATAACACAATCCATAATCCCACCATTCTTGTTCAGCATAAATATATATAATAGTCTTAGAAGCACTGCCAGACAGAAAGTGTTACTCATACATTCAGCACAATAATTTTTATCAATTGCAATGCTGTTTACTTTCATTACTACATCCACTTAGTCCATTGATTTCTTCTAAGACCAATAAAGGTTTTGAAAGATGAAGCAAAGCTAACAGTAGGAGCCATACAGTCTCTTTTCTAAAGAGCAGCATAACCTGAACTATGCCACTCAACTTTTAAGTACTTCCAAAAGTACTTTTGCACTAAGTCCACAGATATAAGAAGGGTATCATTAGTAATGGATTGTAATTGTGAGGACTGAACCTAGCAAGGTTGAAGCAAGGAACCTAGGCAGAGAGTGCTGTCATCAAAATACTGTCCACAAGGTATTGCACAAGGCCGAGAGAAGACTTTAAACCCCGGGTCTGATAAAAATATGGTTTAATTCCTAGCTCTTGCAGTAGCTGTTATTTCTTAATTGGGGATTATTTGCGTCTGTAATAAAAGCACCTTATCTAGCCTAGTTTTGTCCTTGAGTCTTAACACTGCTGCTACCAAGTGCAGGTTGGGTTTCTAGAGAGTTTATACTCTGGACCTGAGGGAAGCTCAAATAGCCATCCTGATTAAGTGGATCACTGGATGATTCAAAAACAATGAAAGCTTTACAATGATAGTACCTTTTAGCAAAGATAGATAGATAGATAGATAGATAGATAGATAGATAGA